CGTCTTCCTTAACGCTCTATCATGTTAGAAAATTAATGTTCTACAAAGTGAATGGTGTGCCATTAAAGGTGACATCCTTGTGCAGTATAGAACCTGTCCAACTGTACATGGCAGCCTGGATTTCAATTTCCTGCACTGAATGCTGAGGCAAAATAAAAATCTGCCAAGGCAGTAAAGGTGATGCCATCTCAGACAGTATTATTACATACTCTGCTTTCCCAAAGGTGCAGATGAGGTCCAAAAATTCAGGCTACTCTAATGCACAGAAAAGGGAACCATAGAGGACAAGAAAATAAAAACAACAAATTGTTGTAGAAAATCAAACATAAAAAACACTTTAATTCCAGCCTAACAGCGCCAGGTGCAATGTCTGGGGACAGACTCTGGGTACAATGCTGTGTGACCACTCACTCACACACGTGGCTCCAAGAAGGCCCCCGAGGGGGACTTACCTTCAGGGGGCCGAGCCAAGGGGAAGAGGGAAGGCCCCCAAACGGGGATAAGGGCAAGCATGGGGAAAAGACGCTACTTCTTGGCAAAGGAGATCTTCATGGCGTTGTTCTGGGTGATCTTAAAGCCCTGCAGGGCATCACGAGCAGCCCCTGCCTGAACCTCATTGTCAAACTCCACAAAGGCGATGTCGTGCCGCCCTGGGACCAGCCGAACCTCCTTGAAGCCAGGGAACCTGAGAGAAGAGAATAGATCTCAGGGATCTAGAATTAGCACTTCCCCTTAACATTTTGGCATCTGGTGGGCAGAGGCCAGGATGTTGCTAAACATCCTACAATACAGAGGATGGCCACAATAACAAAGAACTACCCATCCCTAAATGTATATAATGCTAAGTTGAAAAACCCTAATATAAATAAGTGCACACATTATGAACATATCATTTAATGAGAAATTTTAACATAAACTCCTACACAACCATATCCTAGATCAAGCCACCAAACACGGGCCTCCCCATTACTTCTTTCTCTCATCACCAACCCATTTTCGCTCCAGAAATAACCACTCCCCTGACCTTTAGGATCTGCTGTTTTTTTCATTTCTCTCTTCTCATTCCCTATTTCCTTCCCCATTAGGCAACCATCCTCATGTTGACTGGGTATCCTTTTACCCATCAATATTCTTATAAAATATGTTTTGTTCTGTGGACATGGTAAACATGTGGCATTGCTTGTTTTATCCAGTTTCTCAAGATCTCCTCTCAGCACTATTTTAAAGAACCATGCCCGCGGCACTCTGTTCCTTCTAATGCGGCACAGACACCATGGTGAGCATCACCTCTGACTTCTCCTTTTGCACAGGCTAATTCCCCACCATGATCCCTGTGAGGAATGTATCATCTATACTCCTTGGGACTCATGTTAAGAATTTCTTGCCCTGGCTGGTTTGGCTCTGTGGATAGAGCGGCAGCCTGAGGACTGAAGGGTCCTGGGTTTGATTCCAGTTAAGGGCACATGTCTGGGTTGTGGGCTCAATCCCCAGTAGGGGGTGTGCAGGAGGCAACCGATCAATGGTTCTCATCATTGATGTTTCTTTCTCTCTCTCTCCCTTCTCTCTGAAATCAATTAAAAAAAAATTAAAAATTAAAAAAAGAAAGAATTTCTTTAGGAACCTGGCTGGTGTGCTCAATGGTTCGAACATCAGCCCATGGACTGAAGGATTTCGGGTTTGCATCCTGGTCAAGAGCAAGTACCTAGGTTGCAGGCTTGAACCTCAGCCTGGTCAGGGCGCATGGGGAAGTCAACTAATCAATGTGTCTCTCCCATTAGTGTTTCTCTCCCCCCCCCCCCCATCTCCTCTACCTTCTACTCTTTTTAAAAAAAAATAATAATAATGGAAAATATATCCTTAGGTAAGGATTAAAAAAAATTTCTTGAAGGCCTTTCTGGCAGTGACAACCTCCCCATAACATGGCTTTTGTTAAAGATCTCCTTCATCCCTCTCCAAAAGAGATGAGGAAACACAAGAAGTGCCTGGTGCAGAGCCCAGTTCTTATTTTATGGATGTGAATGCCCAGATGCTGTAAAAGCACCACTGTCCTTAGCCAGACAGTAGTTTTGTGTGCTGGCTGTTCCACTGTGCTGTCAACATATAGGAGGAAAAGCAAGGCTGACAGAGG